TTTCTCATTCTGGTTGTACAAGATATAGAATCCTACTGATGGTGTAGTTATATATGTATATAGGGTAAGGATGTCTAATTCTAATATCCTTCCTACCCCCATAGCTCCTCCCATTCATTTACTCCTCTTTACATAAAGTAACTATTCTTTCATAGCCCCACACCCATACTGTGAATTAGCATCCACATATTAGAGAAAACATTCATCCTTTGGTTTTGGGGGATTGGTATATTTCACTTAGCATGATACTCTCCAGCACCATCCATTTACTGGAAAATGTCATAATTTCATTCATCTTTAAATCTGAGTAATATTCCATTGCACACATATATCACATTTTATTTATCCATTCATATGTTGAATGTCATCCAGTTTGGTTTCATAGTTTAGCTATTGTGAGTTGAGCTGCTATAAACATTGATTTGGCTGCATTACTGTAGTATGCTTATTTTAAGTCCTTTGGATATAAATGAAGGAGTGAGATAGCTGGGTCAAATGGTGTTCTATTCCAACTTTTCTGAGGAATCTCCATACTGCTTTCCATAATGGTTGTAACAATTTGCAGTCCCACCAGAAATGTATAAGTGTACCGTTTCCCCCACATCCTCATCAACATTTATTGTTGCTTGTATTCTTGATAATTACCAATCTGAATGGGGTGAGATGAAATCTTAGAGTAGTTTTGATTTGCATTTCTCTAATTGCTAGAGATGTTGAACATTTTCTCATATATTTTTTGATTGGTTGTGTTTCTTCTTTTGTGAAGTGTCTGTTCATTTCCTTAGCCCATTTTTTTTATTAGTTTTTCTTTTTTTGGTGTTTTTTGAGTTCTTTATATATCTTAGAGATTAATGCCCTATCTGAGGTGCATGTGGTAAAGATTTTCTCCCATTATGTAGGCTCTCTCTTCATGTTATTGATTGTTTCCTTTGCTGAGAAGAAAGCTTTTTAGTTTGAATACATCCCGTTTATTGATTCTCAATTTTACCTCTTTCGATTTTGTTGTCTTATTAAGGAAGTCACTTCCTAAGCCGACATGGTAGAGATTTAGGCCTACTTTCTCTTCTATTAGGTTCAGGGTCTCTATTCCTAGTGCCTAAGTCTTTGATCACATTTAGGTGAGTTTTGTGCAGAGTGAGAGGAGTTTAATTACTTTTTGTTACACGAATTTTCCTATCACCATAGATAGGCTTTTTTTTTTTTTCTACAGTGACTGTTTTTGGTGACTTTGTCTAGCATGAGATAACTGTATTTATGTGGGTTTGTCTCTGTGTCTTCTCTTCTATACCACTGGTCTAACTGTCTGTTTTGGTGCCAATTCCATGCTGTTTTTGTTACTATTGCTCTGTGGTATAGTTTAAGTTCTGCTATTGTTATGCCTCCTGCTTTACTTTTCTTGCTAGGATTGCTTTAGCTACTCTAGGTCTCTTATATTTCCAAATGAATTTTGTATTGCTTTTTATGAAGATAATTTTAAAGGCAATTCTGTTTAGGGTTAAAGGAACAAAGGAAAGGCTACAGAGAAAGTCTCCTTAGAGAAAAGAGTAAATCTCCTTTATCTGTGAAATCTATATCAATGGATTCAAAGGACTGTGAATCAATAGTGTTTGAAAAACTTTATGATGATACCTAACATGTACAGACCCTTTTTCTTGTCATTTTTCCCTATAAAATACAGCGCAAGAACTATTTACACAGAATTTACTTTGTACTAGGTAAGTATTATAAGAAATCTAGGGATGATTTAAAGTATGCAGGAGAATGTGTACAGTTTACACTGGAATAACATATCAATTTATATAAGGGGCTTAAACATCTATTTGGTATTTTTTGGAAGTTCATAAAATGAGCTCCCAGTGGATACCAAAAGACAACTGCATATCAGTAATCATAAACAAAGCATTGGTAGAAATACTGATGGTAAAACACACTTTGATGAAATTTCAGATTGACATGTGGAAATGCTATTGAGAGCTAGATAAAAAAGGCCATCTTTTATACAAATTGGAAGAGAATTTGGAAGAAATGTTTTATATATTGTGTTTTTGTGCAAGGTGGTACTAGTAAGTGACAAAATTGTTTATTTAGATGAGGAGAGCTCTAAGAAAAATATTGAAGGAGTGACTTGATTCTTTCTGCCAGCTTATATTAATATGCAAAGGGAAAATAAGAAGGGTTAATTTTTATGTTAAAAGAACCCAGAATTTAAAAGATTTGAAAATTCCCATCCACCTTAACATAAATCAACAGAGAAAGTGTTCAGAAGTGTACACTAAGGATGTGGTGCATACAAAACTTGGTAAGGAAAATTAGTGTGAGTGGCAACAACAGACTTAATCTCAACAAAATCCAGAAGTAGAGATGGAACTTAAAACTGGAAACACTGCCAGCTGAGACTAAAAGGTATAGAGATGAAGTAACAGGATAAAGGAAGAGAGGGTACCTCAATGAGCTTAATAGTAATGGTGATACCCAGTGGGTCTGGAAGGCAGAAAACTGAGCCAAAGAGGATTATTTCAACCTTTAAGATCACAGGCAGTTTGGTGCTCTAGGCATTGGACTTCCAGGGTGAAGTCACCACTTACTTCATTTCTGTTTCTTCCTTTTGAAAAGGGAAAGTGTATACAGTAACTAACCTACCATTATATTTTGGAAGCATAAAACTTGTTTGGTTTTGCAGATTTACAATTGGGATCAATCTTACTTCAGGGTGAATTGTATCTTTAATCTCACCCTTATGTGATTTAAATGATATTTACATGAGATTCTTGGCTTTAGACTTTACTATTGATATTGAAATAAGTTAAAATATGGGGAGTTATTAAGTGTGAGTATAACTAAATTAGAAAAGAGAAAATTGAAGGGATAGAAAGATAAAATTCCAGTGAGAGAACATAGTAGGATAAAAAGGTGTGAGAAGTAAGACAATGGAGAGGAACCTTAGATTTGGAAGTGTATGCTACACAAGGCTAAGAAATGTGAACCACAGGGCCTGAAGAAGATTTCTTGATGTCTTTATCTCTAGGACAATTATTAGTCATGGTTCTCTAGAGGAACAGAATCAACAGGAAGTATGATTATAAAAGGGGGATTTATCAGGTTGGCTTATGCAACCAGAAGCTGGATAGTCCACAGTGGCCATCTGCAGGCTGGAGAACTGGAAGAACAAGTAACTGCACAGTCCAAGAAGCTGAAGCCCCAGAACAAGAGGGATCAGTGGTGCTACCCTCGTCCAAGACCGAAGGCTTCCAGAGAATCACTGGCAGAATCCACTTTGTAAGAGTGAAGAAATGAGAGTCTGATATCCTCAGAGGATAACAGCATCAATCAAGAATTGATTCAAGAAGAACAAAGCTTGCATCTGCTGCGTCTTCTTGTTCTTCTTTTATTCTATCCAAGCCATAATCCTATTGGACCATGCTGCAGAAGCTTAGGGATGGTCTCCATTTCAGTTGGCTATTCCACGTGCCAATCATTTCTAGACACACCCTCATTAACACACTCATAAACCTCCTAATCATGGGCATCTCTTAATGCAATCAAGTTGACAATTCAAAATAACCATTACAGATAATAACTGGCTCAGTACTTAAACTCTAAGCACAATTGATAATAACTACATATTTTTAATTTTGCAGTTTAGAGAATTATGAATATTTACCAAAAACATTGAATAATTTTTGACATAAAATAAAATTTGACAATATATTTTGCCCACTATGTCTTTATTATTGTTTAAAGAGTTACTTTTTAAACTGACAAAAAAGACATACTAGGAACAATATCCAAATTAGTTTGCTATATTGTGTGCATGCACAAATATATAATAATGAATCCCAGTAAAATACAACTGTAATACACCAATAAAATATAGAAAAAAATTAAAATGAACTATTTTGCACAAAAATACTTTAGGGTTGTTGAGATATAATAAATAATAAATATATTTTGCATAAAGAAGAACATAAATTCAGTTATCTTAACCTGAATGCTGAGTTTTTGTGCATCCTCCAAATTCATCATTTTATCCCAGCCACCAATATAATGATATTAGCAGGTGGAGATTTGGATAGGTAATTAGATCATGAAGCTAGAGTCCCCATGAATAGTGTTAGGGTCCGCAAACAAATCAAGATGGTGCCTGGCACTTTGCCAGAGGGAGTGGTTTGAGAAGTAATGCCAGCGAGCCATTAGGATGATGGAGATTCCTTAATGACTAACTGCTGTATCTAGTTGATGTTAATTAAGTTAAGCTGTGTGTAATTAAGATGATGAGGATTCCTTCATGATTGATTGATGTATCTGGATGATGTTAATTGAAACAAGCTGTGTATTCAGTTTGTATATATACCCCTGGTGTCCTGCAATAAAGTAGCTCCCGCCGTATCAACCTTCACAAGTTGCTTGTCACCCCCCGGTTATTTTGCCCAGCCAGACTTCAGCAAATAGGATTAGAACACTTATAAGAACAGATAGAAGAACATGTTCTATTGCTCCCTCCTCTTAAACATGTTAGGTTTGGAAAAAAGAGGGCATTTAAAAACCAGGAAGCAGGTATTCACTAGACACTATCTGCCATTGTCTTGATCTTGTGCTTTTCAGTCTTAAGAATAGTAAGAAATAAATTTGTGTTCTTTAAACCACTGAGTATATGATATTCTATTATAATGTTCTTATTTGCTTTAAATAGTACTATAGAAAAATATTTAAAGATGAAATAAGAGTGGCTTTCAAAAAGACCTATTCATGCTTATGTTAATTGAACACTTGTAAACTGGAATCCTTCAAGCATTCTAAGATGTATAGTCATCTTTTACTTGAGATCCTTAGATTTTAACTAATTATTGAGGGATTATTCATATTTATTCATGTATCCAGAGAATAATATAATGAATTAATATTTGTTCATCATCCACATCACTTTTATTACATTTCTTTTTTCCTCTAATTCAACAACCTCCATACACTGTTGTTTTTGTTTTGTTTTGTTTTGTTTACAGGCCTGCAGTTGTGATGGTTCAACCCTGACAATTCCTTGATGACCAACACAGTGCAATGACCATTTCAGATGAAGGAGCACACCAACTACAAATTCAATCTTGTCTTTATCTCATATGGACCAATAACTCTGTAATAGTGATTTCTTTATCACTAGAATTTAAGAACCATCAAATATGAAGATATTTTTATTGCTACATTGGCTTGGGGTATTTCAGTTCTATCTTGGATTCACCCAGGCTGAGCACCCCCAATATCACAGCCCCCCAGAGGTAGTGATTCCTTTGAAGGTAACTGGCACTACTAAAGGATTGAAGCAGGCAGGTTGGCTCTCTTATAGCCTGAATTTTGGGAGCCAGAGACACATTATCCATATCAAGGCCAAGAAACACTTGCTGTCCAAACACCTACCAGTGTTCACCTACACAGCCCAAGGTTCTCTATTTGAGGATCAACCTTTTATCCAGAATGACTGCTATTATCATGGTTATGTGGAGGGGGACCCAGAATCCCTGGTTTCCCTCAGTGCTTGTTCTGGAGGTTTTCAAGGAATGTTACAGATAAACAACATTGCTTATGAAATCATGCCCAAGGAGTTTTCCACTACATTTGAACATCTCGTTTATAAAATGGACAATGAGGAGACAGAATTCCTAACACGGAGATCGGGCTTTATGCAAGATGAAATAGCATGCAAACTAGACTTTCAAGAGATTCATAATTTCACTCTGAAGCAGAATTCTTATGTGAGATGGTGGACTGATGTGTGGTATGTTAGATTAGCAGTGGTAGTGGATCATACCCTATACCTTCATTTTCAAAGTAATATATCCAAGATACAGGAGCAAATATTTATTATTACAAACGTAGTGGATTCCATTTATGACGATATAGATGTTAATGTATTATTACTTGGTATTGAGGTCTGGACTGAAGTAAACTATATTGTAGTAGATGACATACAGAAATCTCTGTCAGCATTTAGTCAATGGAAGGCAAAAAGCCTTTCTCCTCATCTATCACATGATGCTGTGCATCTTTACATAAACTCAAGATTAGGTGGACAACCTGGTAAAGCCTACATGCATGGTATATGTACAAAGAGATACAACTGTATAATTGCTACTCACCTAAACAAATCCTTGAATGAGTTTGCAATCAATGCAGCCCATGAGCTAGGTCATCTTTTAGGTATGTTTCATGATGCTGATATATGTGAATGTGGGCAAAAGTCATGTATAATGGGTCAGGATAAGGATTTTGCAACAAAGTTCAGCAACTGCAGTTATTCTGAGTTTTGGAAAATGACTGTACAAAACCAAAACTGTGCACGCAACTAAGTTCAGACAAAAGATATGTCAAAGCGCTGTGGGAATGGAATTGTTGAAGAAGAAGAGGAGTGTGACTGTGGACCTTTACAATATTGTGCAAAAGATGCCTGCTGTCTCTCAAACTGTACTCTGAGTGAGGGGTCTACTTGTGCTTTTGGACTTTGTTGCAAAGACTGCATGTTCTTGCCTGCAGGTGAAGTGTGTAGAAAACAGATCAATGAATGTGATCTTCCAGAGTGGTGCAATGGGACATCCCATAAATGTCCAGAGGATGTACATATGCAAGACGGAAATCTCTGTAACCACAGGGCCTACTGTCATGATAAAAGATGCAATGACCGCAATAAACAGTGCAAGGATATTTTTGGCCACACAGCAATGAATGCAAATTTGAATTGTTATGAGAAAATGAATACTCGAGGGGACCGCTTTGGTCACTGTGGCACGCATCGATCTACATACATAAAATGTAACATTCCAGACATCCTGTGTGGGAGACTTCAGTGTGAGAACGTGACTCTAATTCCCTCTTTGGGAGACCATTCTAGTGTGCACAGGACTCAGTTCAATGGCATCACCTGCTGGGGAACTGACTTTCATTTGGGGATGTCCATACCTGATATTGGTGAAGTGAAAGATGGCACAGAATGTGGTCCGGAACGTATCTGCTTGCATAGAAAGTGTGTCCCTATGTCTCATTTAAAAAGTGATTGTTCGGTTAAGACCTGTAACATGAGGGGTATCTGCAATAGTAAACATCATTGCCATTGCAATGATAACTGGGCCCCACCCGACTGCAAGGAAGAGGGTAGTGGAGGCAGTGTTGATAGTGGCCCACCCCCTAAGAGATAGGAAGGAAAACGTATTCACCAATCAAAATGGGCCATCATTCTCTTATGACCTTTTCTTATGTTTCACTTTTTGGTTTTATTACATACAAAAATATAGAAGAAAAAAGAAAAAAAATATCCAGTCTTATGAAACAACAAAGTATTCAGACTCAACAATAAGAAGAAAAACAAATCTTGAGATTAAAATTGAAAAGAATTTACAAAATTTTCAGACTCGATATCAGAAAGAAAAATGAAGTGTTGAAATTAAAAATAAGAGACACAAAATGTTAACAGTCAATATGTGAAAGAAAAAAAACATTCTTAATCTTGGAAAAAAATCAGTACTGATTTCAAGAAGTGTAACCAAATGGTAATAAAATTTCTGAAGAACTGAAGTTTAGTGTCCTGTCAATATAAATATTAACATATATCTTGGGAAAACTTTGAGATGCATTTTCTTTCGGAATAATAGGCATTATTTATTAGAATTGTAATTTGTAGAATGTTCCTAGTCTTCATCATTTTAAGAATGTTGAAGTTTTAGTTTTCCTGAAATTGATCTTTTCATAAGTTTTTAATTAAGTTCTCTCTCATGGGATCATGTGTGTTTTTAAAAATTACATCTTTCAATTCTAAAATTCTACCTTATTTGTATTTTGCTTTGGAAAATGACTTTTGCTGTACCAATACTGTCTGCTAATGAGAATAACAACATAGAAATCCTAAAACTGGGTATCTGATCGTTTCCAGTTGAGGTAAGTTTTAATTCTATAACAGATTGTAGACTGAACATCGTTTCAATCCGAACCTTTATCTATTTTTTTCTCCTTAGTCACTACCAGAAACAACCTTATTGACAGCCTCATAGATACCCTCATAGCCCATCAGATGTATTTAAATCACAGTTCTGAGTACCTCACAGCTCTGAGTCCTCAACCAGGATCCTGAGTTTCTAGCACCAATAGCTTAACAGTACCTATCTAGCACCAATAGCTTAACAGTACCTATCAGAGTTCTGAGTCATAGACATTGTGGAGAGGTTCTAGAGTCAGCAGGGTCCAAACAAACCAACTTCTTCTTCTTCTTTTCAAGTCAGCCCCATGAAGGAATTCTATCTCCAGCAGTTACTACTGTAGTAGTAAAGAGTAGCAAATGTCATCTGCAATTTTTCTATCCTCCAACAGCTTTTCCCTATTTTATTGCATTTATTTTTCTCGCTTTAAAATTATGGATCCAGGTCTCCTTTCCTGACCAAAGCACAACTCTTACTGTTAATTCTGGTATGATATAGGAACTAGAAGTCTTTAAGCATCAGACTTTTGAATTTTAACACTGCTATTCACCATCTTGGTTAAAGTACTAAATTATAGATAATTTTCTTTAAAATAAGAATAGGGAGGATGATAATAACACTTGTCGCTCAACTTCTGGGTTCCTTTGGTTATGAAAATGAGACACAGAAGATGCTCTCTCATATCTAGGTGTAGGGTATGGTGAGGCTTGGCAGGCAAATTATTACTCTAGGATAAATCTATATAATAGCAAATACATTTTTAAAACTAACGCTGTAAAGGAGTCAGAAAGTTGTGGCAGAAATGAAAAATAGGAGAACTTAAAATAATAGAGAAGGAAACACTCCTGAATTTTGGTCTTCTTTTCCCCACTAGAAATCTTGATGATTCTGGATATAAATTAAGGATCAGACTTGGCCCATCCAGCTAGAGGGTCTCTACTGAGGAAAGAGGAACCTGAAAACCTCTATGTACCTGGAAGAGACTAGTTTAAAAAGTTAAAAATAGAAAGGTATCAAATCCAAATCAATTTTTCTCACATCATATTTTCTGAGTTTAGGTTCTCTGTGGGGTGGCTAAGGGGAAAGACTTAGGCTTCAAACTGGTTCTTTAGTTTCCTAAAGAACTAAGAAAAGCTTGATTCTAGCACATGTACTATTTCCACTATAAGCCACTCCAAAGTTTTTGATGTGCATGGGTCACATGCTAGAAAATTAGTTTTGAAACTTCAATCTTCAGAACTTTATTGTCTGTTGTATTTCAGTGCTAAGGAAATAGAGGAATTGGTGTTTTTCATTAAAACTCTAGAAAGGTACATGTATCTTACTAAAAATATACTATTCTCTAACCTATCACAATGTGAAAGATGATAGTTTCATTTCAGCAAATTTTTAAATCTATGCAAAATGCCAAATGTATATTCAAAAGATAAAATATTTATAAAAAGAAATCAGTGACCCAGTAGTACTATAGACTTGAGAGGAAAGTATACTAAGTTAGTTAACTGAAAAAAGTCAGTTAAAAATTCTTATACATATAGAAATTATGGAGAAAAAAATCTTCAAAAATAAGGTAGTAGTTTGAATATTATATAAATCATAACAGAATCTAACATTTTAAAACTAGTCTCCCAGTTCAGTAGGAGAAAAATATTAAATAGAAATAATATTCAAAAATTTGATTGCTGTGAATTTCTCAAAAGTATGGAAATATATCATCCTATTATTTAAACAAACTCAGTGAATTCTAAGCAAGATAAAAGAAACACCTATCTAGACATGTCATACTTACACTGTTGAAATGCAGAGCCATATGGAGATCCAAATAGCAGCTAGATACATATTTTTAAAGGATCAACAATAAACTGTTATTTTTACAAAATAACAAAAGTAGGAGACAATGCAATAACATTTTATTCTGTATTTATAACTACGGACTTAGTGTTCTTTTGTGATGTAAATAATTTATTCATGTTCAACATAAGGAAAACAAAATTTTCCTTAGGCATACAAATCCTACTTGGATAGCACTCAAATAAATACTAATGCTACTTTTTAGCCAGGAGAAGGGTATAATATCAGAAAGAAAGAGGAGTGGGTATGATATGCAGGTAGGTATGAAGTACACAAGAATGAGAGTAAACAGATGATGAGCAATGAAAATCAATTTAATTGAACAAAACAATACCAATAATGTCTTGTGGATTATAAAATGTATACAGAACAAAAATCAAACCCACTTTACAAAAGCTATGGATTCATGAAATAGAATTTAAAAGTTTTAAGTTTCTGAGAGTACTATAAATGATAAATTAATCATATCTGACTATATTGAGAATAATACTATGATCTCAAGGGTAACAACTAAAACAATAATGGCAAAATAATATAAGAAATTTATTGAATACAAAGTTATAGTAAACAATATTTGATTACTACAAATATAGTCAAAATTGAGGAAAATAAACACAATACATATATAAAAAGGAAACGTAAATAGATTATAGTATACACAGGACCTTTGTAAAACTGATATATTATATAAAGAAGATTGAAATAAGTCAGAATGAGTAAAGTATAAAATACAGCACTATTCTGCTTATTAGAAACATAACTTAAAAATAAAAACACAGAGTATACAAAAACTTGGAAATTTTCATATCATGTTAATATTAACCAAAGAAAGTTGGTGTCATCCTACTGACAGGATGAGGACTTTAAGACATGACACATGACTAGAAGTAGTATATTTTGCAATGATCAAAGTCTAATCACACTTAAAATATGACAGTCCTAAATCTGTATGCAGTCCCTTCAGTAATTTCAAAAGTATAGGTAAAATAATGAAATAGACAAATCCATGACCATCTAGAGGGGGACTTGAAACCTGCTCTCTCAATAGTGATAGGACACTAAATCACACAATACAAAATCTTCAACACATAATTAACAAACAATATAATAGATATAAAAGAGAGAGTAGTATACATAAAATTGACAAATTCACTTTGGTTCTCCTGCATGTGAACTAGTTACTAAACTCAACTACATGGTGGGCCATAGGGAAATCTTAAAAAAAATAAAACTTTCAGACTTTAAATTCTAAAAATTATTTACTCTAATCTGGATAGAATCATGGTACAAGTTGATAGCACTGAACTTATCTACAGAAATTCTGTTGCTTGGGAATAAAACAGTACATTTCAAAATAATCTCTGTGTCAAAGATGAATCAAATGGAATTTAGAAAAATTTTGAACTAAAGTACAAATAACTACAAGTTCCTTGAGATTGAGCTAATGTAGCTGTTTAAGAAAATAGTATACTCTTTTATAATTATGATAAAACAAAGGAAATATCATGATGAACAAGATTTGGGTATGGAAGGAATGTTGCAATTGTCAAACTCTGAAGTTAAAATAACACCATTAATAGACTAAAGTTTGCTATGCTTTGGATACAGATTGAATGTGTCCTCCAAGGATTCCAGTGTTGAAATTTAATCCCTATTGTAAGGTATTAAGAGGGCTGAAAAATAATTTAACTGTAATGTTTAGAAGTGGGGCCTTTCAAAGTGATTAAGATGAAAGTTATCAGGCTGGATCCCCCATGGTTAAATACTGGGGCTTTATAATAATAGGGAGACAGTGTATAAAAGTGCACCTTGTCTCTTCCCATGTGATGTCCTATACCTCAGGACTGTGCCAGCAAGGTGACCATCATCATGTGTGGGCTCTTGAACTTCCAAAACTGTAAGATAAATAAGCCTCTTTTCTTTAAACTATCCAGTTGTAGGTGGTTTGTTACACTAATGCAAAATGGACTAGTACATGGCTCAGGATTCTAATGGATAAAGTAGATGGCATGCAAGAACAGACAGGTAGGGCTGGGGTTGTAGCTCAGTGTACAGTGCTTGCCTGGCACATGTGAGGCACTGGGTTTGATCCTCAGCACCACATAAAGTAAATAAAGTAAAGGTATAAAAAATAATCTCTCATTAAAAAATAAAAAAGAATATACAGGTAACAGATGCAAAGAAATGGACTATGAGAAAGAAACAGAAGTCCTGGTATCAAAATTATTAGAAATGAAGAATGCTGTGATGGGCTTATTGACAGAAAGTTGCTGAAAAAAAGAAGCTCTGTGGGCTGGGGATGTGTCACAAGCGGTAGCGCGCTCGCCTGGCATGCGTGCGGCCCAGGTTCGATCCTCAGCACCACATACAAACAAAGATGTTGTGTCCGCTGAAAACTAAAATAAATAAATAAATATATACATATTTAAAAAATTTTTTCTCTCTCTCTCTCTCTCTCTCTCTCTCTCTCAACTCTCTCAGAAAAAGGTCTGTGACTGAGGATATCTGTATAGAAACTATCAAAAGGAAAAACACATTGGAGGAGGAAAAAAATGTCTGAGAGAGAAAATCAGTTTATTCCCGCCCTTTTAAGCAGAGGAAGTGAGGCCAGGAAGTAGTGGAATTTTGCATACAGACTTAAAAGTTTGGTCTGTTTGAATCAGAGCTGATTTCAGCAATATTTGAATTTTTTATTTTTTTTAAATTTATTTGTTCTAATTTGTTATATATGACAGAAGAATGCATTTCAAT